CAGAACAGGGCTCCAGGCAGCCGAGCGGAAATGGAGGAAAACTAGACTCCCTGCGGACCTGGCATCTTTTCACTCCCTCCTCTCATCTCATCTGCCTCTAACCATAGGAAGCTCTTTGCCACCTTCTCCTCCCTGCTGAATCCTTCTCCCCCCTCCTCCCTCTCTGTGGATGACTTCGTCAACCATTTTGAAAAGAAGGTTGACGACATCCGATCCTCGTTTGTTAAGTCAAATGACACTGCTGGTCCTGCTCACACTGCCCTACCCTATGCTTTGACTTCTTTCTCCCCTCTCTCTCCAGATGAAATCTTGCGACTTGTGACGGCCGGCCGCCCAACAACCTGCCCGCTTGACCCTATCCCCTCCTCTCTTCTCCAGACCATTTCCGGAGACCCTATCCCCTCCTCTCTTCTCCAGACCATTTCCAAAGACCTTCTCCCTTACCTCACCTCACTCATCAACTCATCCTTGACCGCTGGCTATGTCCCTTCCATCTTCAAGAGAGCGAGAGTTGCACCCCTTCTCAAAAAACCTACACTCGATCCCTCCGATGTCAACAACTACAGACCAGTATCCCTTCTTTCTTTTCTCTCCAAAACTCTTTAGCCAACTCTCTTGCTATCTCTCTCAGAATGACCTTCTTTATTCAAACCAGTCAGGTTTCAAGACTGGTCATTCAACTGAGACTGCTCTTCTCTGTGTCACGGAGGCTCTCCGCACTGCTAAAGCTAACTCTCTCTCCTCTGCTCGTCCTTCTAGACCTGTCTGCTGCTTTTGATACTGTGAACCTTCAGATCCTCCTCGCCACCCTCTCTGAGTTGGACATCTCCGGCGCGGCTCACTCTTGGATTGTATCTTACCTGACAGGTCGCTCCTACCAAGTGGTGTGGCGAGAATCTGTCTCCGCACCACGTGCTCTCACCACTGGTGTCCCCCAGGGTTCAGTTCTAGGCCCTCTCCTATTCTCACTATACACCAAGTCACTTGGCTCTGTCATATCCTCACATGGCCTCTCCTATCATTGCTAGCAGACGACACACAACTAATCTTCTCCTTTCCCCCTTCTGATAACCAGGTGGCAAATCGCATCTCTGCATGTCTGGCAGACATATCAGTGTGGATGACGGATCAAATCAAATCAAATCAAATTTTATTGGTCACATGCGCCGAATACAACAGGTGCAGACATTACAGTGAAATGCTTACTTACAGCCCTTAACCAACAGTGCATTTATTTTAAACAAAAAAGTAAAAAATAAAACAACAACAACAAAAAAAAAGTGTTGAGAAAAAAAAGAGCAGAAGTAAAATAAAGTGACAGTAGGGAGGCTATATATACAGGGGGGTACCGTTGCAGAGTCAATGTGCGGGGGCACCGGCTAGTTGAGGTAGTTGAGGTAATATGTACATGTGGGTAGAGTTAAAGTGACTATGCATAAATACTTAACAGAGTAGCAGCAGCGTAAAAAGGATGGGGTGGGGGGGCAGTGCAAATAGTCCAGGTAGCAAGACGGAGCTGCTCTTCCTCCCGGGGAAGGACTGCCCGTTCCATGATCTCGCCATCACGGTTGACAACTCCGTTGTGTCCTCCTCCCAGAGTGCAAAGAGCCTTGGCAACACCCTATCATTCTCCGCTAACATCAAGGCGGTGACCCGATCCTGTAGGTTCATGCTCTACAACATTCGGAGAGTACGACCCTGCCTTACACAGGAAGCGGCACAGGTCCTAATCCAGGCACTTGTCATCCCCCGTCTAGATTACTGCAACTCGCTGTTGGCTGGGCTCCCTGCCTGTGCCATTAAACCCCTACAACTCATCCAGAATGCCACAGCCCGTCTGGTGTTCAACCTTCCCAAGTTCTCTCACGTCACCCCCCTCCTCCGCACACTCCACTGGCTTCCAGTTGAAGCTTGCATCTGCTACAAGACCATGGTGCTTGCCTACGGAGCTGTGAGGGGAACGGCACCTCCGTACCTTCAGGCTCTGATCAGTCCCTACACCCAAACGAGGCATTGTGTTCATCCACCTCTGGCCTGCTGGCCCCCTACCTCTGCGGAAGCACAGTTCCCGCTCAGCCCAGTCAAAACTGTTCGCTGCTCTGGCACCCCAATGGTGGAACAAGCTCCCTCACGACGCCAGGACAACGGAGTCACTCACCACCTTCCGGAGACACTTGAAACCCCACCTCTTTACGGAATACCTGGGATAGGATAAAGTAATCCTTCTACCCAACCCCCCCCCCCCCCAAAAAAAAAAAAAAGAAAACACATTGTAAAGTGGTTATTCCACTGGCTATAAGGTGAATGCACCAATTTGTAAGTCGCTCTGGATAAGAGTGTCTGCTAAATGACGTAAATGTAATGTTTTCACACTCTTGCTTTGACCATCAAGTGACAGAAAGAAAAAGAAAACAGTTATGAGCTGAACATAATAGTACGCCAGTGGAAGGGAGGACAGTAGCAGGTGACCCAACTGTGGTTTGTGACTCCTATGAATTCCCATTGTAGCCAATGAAGTTAGTCATTTTAAATTTTTTGGTCATTCTGTTACCGATTTGGCACTAGGCAATATTTCTAAATCTATCAAAAACAGCACACATTACCACCAACAAAACAGAAGCAGGTCAACCGCCAAAAGCCTTTCCAATGCTCTCACCTCAATATATACAGTGGGGAGAACAAGTATTTGATACACTGCCGATTTTGCAGGTTTTCCTACTTACAAAGCATGTAGAGGTCTGTAATTTTTATCATAGGTACACTTCAACTGTGAGAGACGGAATCTAAAACAAAAATCCAGAAAATCACATTGTATGATTTTTAAGTAATTAATTTGCATTTTATTGCATGACATAAGTATTTGATCACCTACCAACCAGTAAGAATTCCGGCTCTCACAGACCTGTTAGTTTTTCTTTAAGAAGCCCTCCTGTTCTCCACTCATTACCTGTATTAACTGCACCTGTTTGAACTCGTTACCTGTATAAAAGACACCTGCCCACACACTCAATCAAACAGACTCCAACCTCTCCACAATGGCCAAGACCAGAGAGCTGTGTAAGGACATCAGGGATAAAATTGTAGACCTGCACAAGGCTGGGATGGGCTACAGGACAATAGGGAAGCAGCTTGGTGAGAATGCAACAACTGTTGGCGCAATTATTAGAAAATGGAAGAAGTTCAAGATGACGGTCAATCACCCTCGGTCTGGGGCTCCATGCAAGATCTCACCTCGTGGGGCATCAATGATCATGAGGAAGGTGAGGGATTAGCCCAGAACTACACGGCAGGACCTGGTCAATGACCTGAAGAGAGCTGGGACCACAGTCTCAAAGAAAACCATTAATAACACACTACACCGTCATGGATTAAAATCCTGCAGCGCACGCAAGGTCCCCCTGCTCAAGCCAGCGCATGTCCAGGCCCGTCTGAAGTTTGCCAATGACCATCTGGATGATCCAGAGGAGGAATGGGAGAAGGTCATGTGGTCTGATGAGACAAAAATATAGCTTTTTGGTCTAAACTCCACTCGCCGTGTTTGGAGGAAGAAGAAGGATGAGTACAACCCCAAGAACACCATCCCAACCGTGAAGCATGGAGGTGGAAACATCATTCTTTGGGGATGCTTTTCTGCAAAGGGGACAGGACGACTGCACCGTATTGAGGGGAGGATGGATGGGGCCATGTATCGCGAGATCTTGGCCAACAACCTCCTTCCCTCAGTAAGAGCATTGAAGATGGGTCGTGGCTGGGTCTTCCAGCATGACAATGATCCAAAACACACAGCCAGGGCAACTAAGGAGTGGCTCCGTAAGAAGCATCTCAAGGTCCTGGAGTGGCCTAGCCAGTCTCCAGAATTGAACCCAATAGAAAATATTTGGAGGGAGCTGAAAGTCTGTATTGCCCAGCGACAGCCCCGAAACCTGAAGGATCTGGAGAAGGTCTGTATGGAGGAGTGGGCCAAAATCCCTGCTGCAGTGTGTGCAAACCTGGTCAAGACCTACAGGAAATGTATGATCTCTGTAATTGCAAACAAAGGTTTCTGTACCAAATATTAAGTTCAGCTTTTCTGATGTATCAAATACTTATGTCATGCAATAAAATGCAAATTAATTACTTAAAAATCATACAATGTGATTTTATGGATTTTTGTTTTAGATTTAGATCTCACAGTTGAAGTGTACCTATGATAAAAATGACAGACCTCTACATGCTTTGTAAGTAGGAAAACCTGCAAAATCGGCAGTGTATCAAATACTTCCCACTGTATATATATATATATAGCTATTTAAAAATATATATCTATTCAAATATCTTGCATATCTTAATTTCTATCATTATCAATTAATATGCATAATAATGTCGGCAGTTAGATTGTTACCTATAACCCAGATTGCTCGACAAAAATTTAATGTAATACAATGGCAATTATAATTTTAGCAAACAATTGTGATTCATCCTATATTCTCCCTAACATCCTTACCCCCTTGCAACAGATGTGGGATAAACACACACACACATACTCTAACACACTCAACCACTTTCCTCCACAATCAACCATCTTCAAAGTGGTAGGCATGTTGTGTAAATCAAATGATACAAACCCCAAAAAAATCCATTTAAATTCCATGTTGTAAAACAACAAAATAGGAAGAATGCTAAGGAGGGTGAATACTTTCGCAAGCAACTATACTTTCTGAAATTAATGACCAAGGCAGCTCACATATTTGCCTGTCTCTAATGCAAAAGCTAGATTTGAAATGACTGAAAAAAAAAAGACAAAAAAAAAAAAAAGTTTATTACAAATTATGCCAAAAGTGTGTTCAATAGATAAGGGTGGAAATAAAAAGAATACGCAGTTTTTTTTTTAAACGTGTTGTTTTACTTAAGTGCAGCATACCCAAAACTGACTTTTGCAGTCAAACATGCAGGGCTAAATATATTACAAAAATTACAGTTTTACATTTTAAAAGGGGGTTTAAGGATAGTTTTGAGTCCCATCAGTTATTGGTGATTTCAATGAAAAGGATGACGTTCCACACGTTGCCATCCTCTTCAAGTTGCTGAAGCTGACCCTTTATGTTGCTTCTCTTTCTGGAGTGGTTGATCCTCCGTCCAATTGTGTCCTTCTCTGGGTGGCAAGGGCAGGGCACAGTCTTGGCATCTATGCAGCACGTTTTCCCTGATACATCCTTGTAGAAATATAGGTACCCCATCTCGTCTTCATCTGTTGCTGCCAAAAGTTCTTTCCCCTGCTTCCCTGAGAGTGGGAGACCGTGGTAGTCACAGACGACTTCCCCTTTAGCAAATTTCTGTGTTGTCATGACCTTTCTTCCTTTGACAGGGTCACTGGAAATGTACAGTCCTTTCCACTTCTGGGACTTCACCAGCTTCATAATTGCGTTGATGTCTTTTTTTGTGTCAGTGTTGCTTGAAGGTTGCCAGTAACGAAGGACATCCTCCACCTTCACTTTGTTCTTCTCCCAGTTCTGCCGTTTAATGTATATCTCTACTTTTCTGGCAGTGGGTTCTTTTCTGGGGAAGTGAGCTGTAACAATGCAAAGACAAAAATAAATGTGTTATTATTAATTTCATTTATTCAATAGCAGAAGCCCTTATCCAGGACTACTTACAGTCATAGTTATGTGACTAAATAAAGTACATTCTCGTAATACCTAATATGTTAAAATTGTATTCAGTCTATTGTAATTTAGCTGCATCTTACCGATCACATAATTCCGTCTCATTTTCTTTTGCTGGTTTCTCCACTTGTCATAACAGTATCTCTCATGCCTTCCTGCAATCAGTAGTCTGTCCTTCTTCTTGATTGATTGTCCATCAATTGTGACAGGGAAGTTTTGGTAGAAGACGTTCAAGGCCTGTGCCTCATCCAACTTTTGGCTGCTGGACAATGTTCCTCTTCCATAACTTGTGCTTGCGGAGGAGGGGCCTGCAGTCTCACTACTTGAAAAAGGGAAAATAACAAAAACGTATTAGCCATATGTAACAACTTTACAAGACATTATAAAGGGTCATTTATATAACGAGTGTAAATACTTACTCAGATTCACTGGACATGGCAACTTTGGAGATCAGCTTCATTCCCATGCAGGCATTGACTGGTGAAAATGAAGGAAGTAATAAGACAATCACAAAGAAATCTCTGCAGAATAAGGAAAAAAGCAATAATCCAAAATATCAGCTCCCAGAAGGAAAGAGTGTTGTCGTTGCTCTCAGTTGAATTCTTTTTTCTGAAGTGGTGTCAGGTTCGAGCGTGGATGTGGTGTGGAATCAAGCGCAGGACAACAGAGGCTTCGTTCAACAGTCTTTAGTGAAGACACGAAAACAAGACACACGGCTAAATCCAAGCCGGAAGGCAAGCGAACTTTACGCACACTGAGTACAGCTCAAAATACAAAACAAAATGCGTACACTGTGCGGACAATCTCTCCAAACAAACACGAGAGAGAGAAGTACTAGCAACCCTTGCTGACATAAGAAACAATTACACACAACACATGACAAAACCCAAGAGAACTTATAGGACACATAATTAACACTAACAATGAACAGGTGTACAAACAGACCAAACCAAACAAACATCGAAACATAGAACGGTGGCAGCTAGTACTCCGGAGACGACGACCGCCGAAGCCTGCCCGAACAAGGAGGAGGAGCAGCCTCGGCCGAAACCGTGACAAGTGGAGTATATACTGTTGCCTTGGTCAGTATATATACAATCAGATTGACCCAACCCCATTCCACATTAAAATATTCCATTCAGGGTAGATTTACACATAAGCAAATGAGTTGCTAACCCCCATACCACTTCACACCTCACAATACCTCTGCAGCTCAGATGGGTAGTGGGTTCAATCCCTGGGACCACCCATACACAAAAATTTATGCACGCATGACTGTAAGTCACTTTGGATAAAAGCGTCTGCTAAATGGCATATTATTATTATATTATTATAGAACATTTGGATACCATTGGGACACACTTTTACAGAACCCTGTTGCAGGTCTATACGTGAAGAACTGAATAATTTCCAGAGGGTTGAATGCAGTGTTTTTCACTAACTGCAGGGAGTGAAATCAAAACCACGTTTAAGGTCAATCTTAACACTTCCGGTTGCTCCAGGAAGCTTAAAATCAACACAGGGAATCCTTATAGTCATAGAAGACAGTTTGATATGGCAATCATAACCCACATAGGCATCAGGTTGAAGTTAGGTCAGCAGGCAATGTATTTCTATGGAAAATGACCCTAAATGCACCCTCTTTTCACTGTTAATGGTTAATTCCACATGGTCAAAGGTAGGCTTGCACAGATCGGGAGGACCTTAGGAGTGTTCCTGTGGTTGAATTGTGTTTCTAGCCTCAACGATTTTAATGCTCTCACCCAAAAGCACCTCAAATGTAGGTCAGGCTTCATTTTGGGCCTTGTCCTGAGACCTTTCTTGATGTCTATATTTTAGCCCAAAAAACGTCAGAGCCTGCTGATCTTCAAATATGTTGCTCTTTATATGCCCCCCAACCATAATCTGGAAATATATTAATTTCAGACTTCTGGACATAAAACTTACTATCTAACCCTAACAGCTTGGTCCTGTAAACTCACTGGAGCACGGCACATGTGAAATCCAAGGTAGTGGGTTCGATCCCCGGGACCACCCATACACAAAAAAAAAAATGTATGCACGCATGACTGTAAGTCGCTTTGGATAAAAGCGTCTGCTAAATGGCATATTATTATTATTATTATTATTAAAACCACACACAGACATGTGAAATCCCTTAGCTAGATGAGCCTCAAACATCAGAGCAATGGCCTAGGCGACAACACCTTGGGTGGGCAATTGTCTTCCAAATGAATGTTCATATATAACACGCCATTCTCCAAATCAATGTTTCTATATAACATGTCATTCTCCTTGCATTATGCTGTTGGGTCAGGGTCGAGGGAGGTTGAAATGCTGGGAAAAACTTCTCCACAGAATTTCCACGTAGCATTTCAACATTTTTCAAATGAGAGTAATGGTTTGTGAATGGGCAGGGAGTGCAGGCCTAAAGGCCTGGATGTCTGTGCTCTCAAAAAAAAACCCGGATAAAAACCCGGAATGTAAGCATATTATTATATCTGCTGTACCTCTGGAGTTACAGGGAGTAAGCTGTACTCTCAGGCCCAGTGAGAGAGGGTTTTACTAGGCAGGGAGTGTGGAACTAGAGGCCTGTAGTTCCAGAGGTCACAAAGGTCAATGTGGGCCTGCATGGAAGTCATTAGGGCCACAGGGAAAAGGCACAAGTGAATAGGTGGGTGAGTCAAACTGTCTCACAGGGGGGAAGAGCAGGCAGACCCTGTGGAGGCTGGCTGCTCTCTCCCCCTTTTTTTTAGGCCTGCTGTACCCCTGGAGTTACCCCTAACGTCAAATAACATTAGGCTATGTTAATCTATTCTTGATTAAAGAATCATCAAAGTTTGTGAAAAAGTAGACTGTGGGTAGCGCTATTGAGCACCCCATGGCCACCAGGGGTATGGGATTGCATAATTATTTCTGATTAATGTAAAATATTATTTGTGCCAAGCCATAAGACTGAGCTACAAAAAACATTCCATGACCAGACCTGACCTCTTACAAAGATTTCCTGGTGTTGTATAAAGGTTAATGGCAGAAAACAAGTGTATGTATAGAAATGCTTATAGAAACGTTGTTACATCGATATTGATGCTTCAAGAAGCTCAAAAAATTGACAATATTAACATTCAACAGCCTATATGTGGCCTTTCAACCCCTATACCCATTACCCATTATTTGTGGTCCTCTGTAGCTCAGCTGGTAGAGCACGGCGCTTGTAAAGCCAAGGTAGTGGGTACGATCCCCGGGACCACCCATACACAAAAATGTATGCACGCATGACTGTAAGTCGCTTTGGATAAAAGCGTCTGCTAAATGGCATATTATTATATTATTACCCGCATGGCCTTATAACCGCACTTCTATTGCCATGGTCCTCGGCACATCATATTCCTGATAAGCAACTGCTTTTCTAAAAAGCAGTTGAGGCATGATTTGGCTTTGATCTTCATCAAATATTTTCGCGGACAACTAGCTTAGAGCGCAAACAGATAGACGGTCTGTCTCAATGTACTAAACATGCTGCATGTCAATACGACTCAGGGGTAGGCCTATATCCAACAGAAAAAATGCAGGTAAATTATAATATGTAATAGCATTAAATCAACTGTGTATATAATCCATATATATATATATATATACATATAGATATTTATATATATAACAAAAAATAAGATATGTTGATATACATGTAGGCCTATGTATTTTAATATATAGCCTAGCTACGCCTAGCCTATAGGCCTATAATAAACTTGGATATGAATTGCGAAGATCAAGGTCAGTCGTCCAAAATGCAACATTCTCATCACTTTTGATTATTATTTTCTCATTACTCATAAGACATTCACTAAGTACTAAAGTTGATCAGCCCAATCCACTGCTCATAACTAATATATCAACATTGTACTATGTGCTTAGGCATCTGGTTAAAAGTAGTCCACTTTCCAAGGAGTAGGGTGAATTTGTCTCCAGAGTGGCGCAGTGGTCTAAGGCACTGCATCGCAGTGCTAGCTGTGCCACTAGAGATCCTGGTTCAAATCCAGGCTCTGTTGTAGCTGGCTGTGACCGGCACACACATGGGGCGGCGCACAATTGGCCCATTGTAGGGGAGGGAATGGCCGGCAGGGATGTAGCTCAGTTGGTAGAGCATGGTGTTTGCAACGCCATGGTTGTGGGTTCACTTCCCAAGGGGGGACAGTATATAAAAATAATAATACAAAAAAATGTGTGCTGTCGCTCTGGATGAGAGCGTCTGCTAAATGACAAAAAATATATATATATTTGGAAAGAAAGGATCCTGTACCTTTATCCATTGAACTAACATTGTTAAAGTAGAAAGACAGAAGGAAACAAGAGTGACCTTTAAGTCTCAGATTTACATGCATTTGTTCCAAACATAATGTTGTAGCTTAACTATATTGGAAAAGGCACAGGTAAAATGAGGAACTGTGTATATTAACCTGTGTGCCTTTTCTAATAGTGAGCCAACGTTTTATTCCAGGACCACAGACAGCTACTGCTAGCTAGTGCGGTAGAAATGCAAGGAATGCCGTGGCGAGTTCAGAACCACGGCAGTGGAGACTGGAGAGTGTCACTAACAACAAATAGGAAGACCACAAGATGATTTCTACCTACTGTAAACAGTCAAATCACGATAAAATCTGTGATTTTCAACCATCTGACCTAGTACTGTCTGATTCATATAGCCTGATTTTTGTTTGTTCTTTATTATATCAAATTATTGCTTCTGTATGGGGTGCTTTGGCTGAAAGACCAACACGTTTGATCTGGAGCCCATTGACTATATAACTTGCAAATTAACAGTCTATACAGTAAATATTATTGTATCTACTCCATAAGATAATTAGCTATGTGCATTGTGTTATAGAATAGGCAGAAGCTAAAGGTCAAGAATGGACAGAGAGTGGAATTAAACGTACATATTTAATAACATAGTAAACTGAATCAATTCAAACATAAAATACAAAAATACTCAACTTCTGACTACTTTAATACACATATGAAGTGAATTTATCACAATACTTTTGGTCCCCTAAAATGGGGGGACTACGCACAAAAAGTTTTTTCTAAACGGTTCACCAGATATGGATGAAAATACCCTCAAATTAAAGATGGCAGGCTGACTTTAACCTCATAGTTAACCTTGTATCATTTCAAATCCAAAGTGCTGGAGTACAGAGCCAAAACAACAAAAAAATTGTCACAGTTGCAATACTTTTGTAGCTCACTGTATATCAAGAAGATCTAAATGCATATTCTCATGAAACTGATTGAGATCAAATGGTTGGCATGCTGATGCTCCATGAACGTTTCAATGGGGAATCATGACGAATCTAGCCAACCATTTATGATTGACAGTGATGAATGTGAAGGGAGAGTGAGGAAGACATTTGTGCATAAAGTAGAGGTTAAACTGGAGAAAACCGGTCCTCGGCCTTGATC